AAGAAACCAGTAAAACCTCTTTGTCAGACGTTTTATTAGGTGCTTGGGAGAGGGTGGATATTTGTAAAGTAAATATTTTTTAAAGGAACGTTTTAAGAAAAAAAAAAGTTCATTTAGTCGAATCTCTTTTAAACGATCACCCTTGAGAAATTATGCATGGGTGGTCAAATGAAGGTTGGCAGCTTAATCATGGGTACAATTCCTGGGCAAATTTTGCTGTTTTGACAAGTAGATAAAGGTGGGATCGTAAAAGGCGGAAAATACCCTAACCTTTACGCTTGAGAAAAATCCATGCATTGGCCCCAACAGCGGTTTCGAGCAAGGATCCGTCATAAAGGCAATGAATTTTGATCATAATGCTTGAGTTATTTCTTCCAAAGGTATTGAGACAGGTGAAAACGGTCTCCTTGGTAACTACACTACAGCGTACTTGACTGTCCTATCAAACGATGACCCTTATGGCAAGCTTTTGTTCCCGTCCCAATCACGTGACGTTAAGATTCCTGAGGACTTTGAACCTGGATTCAAGAACACTACTATCAAGAATCTGACCGTGATGCGCGAACAAGGAGACTGGGGTGATATCCAGGTGTGTTGCCATAGAAACATGTAAATTAGAAATCAGGTGTAAAGACCGTACATGCACTTCCTGATTGGTTCTGTCATATAAATATCAATTCCTGATATATCCTAATCCTACTTGCACAAGATGTCATATTTCATATATTTTCTTCTATCCAACTTTTTTGGTATGCTAAACAATAAGAACTCGAGCCTATACTACGAAGTCATGTACTAGAGCCTACATTTTATAGTAAGGATGAAACATTAATAGCTAGATAATTGAGTAATTGAGGGGGGTTTGCAGGAATTTATATCCACAATACTTTGACAATGTGATGACGCAATTTATCGTCAATAAGAGGCCAGACACATTAAAACTGGGCCCGGTTGTACGAAGCCTGGATAGCGCTATCCGACGGATAAATCTTATCCAGTGGATAAATTTATTGGATAACGGCATCGACTTATCCACTTGATAAGGATTTATCCGCCGAATAGCGATATCCAGGCTTCGTACAACCGGGCCCTGATGTCTATTTGTTAACTGACGTTCAATCACTCTTTAGGTTGTCTGGGAAATCGTCACCTCAGAAGCCAGCATCAAGACACATTACACGTATGATTTGATGTTCCTTGGTGATGTGAGATCTGGTGTTACGATGAATCCAAGCAAAAAAAGGGATAGAACAAACACTAATGTGTATTGCTTTGATGCAAGTAAAAGTGGTAGGTCTCTAATTAACAATTTAACAACAATTTGGGGGGTCATGGTAAAGGGGGGTCGTGGTAATGGGGGGTCATGTTATGGGGGTCTTGGTAATGGGAGTCATGTTAGGGGGGGTCATGGTAAGGGGGGTCATGGTAATGTGGGGTCATGGTAATGGTGTCATGGTACGGGGGGTCATGGTAAAGGAGGTCATGGTAAGGGGGGTCATGGTAATGGGGAGTCATGGTAATGAGGGTCATGGTATGGGGGGTCATGGTTATGTGGGGTCATGGTTATGTGGGGTCATGGTTATGTGGGGTCATGGTAAGGAGGGTCATGGTTATGTGGGGTCATGGTTATGTGNGGGTCATGGTTATGTGGGGTCATGGTTATGTGGGGTCATGGTTATGTGGGGTCATGGTAAGGAGGGTCATGGTTATGTGGGGTCATGGTTATGTGGGGTCATGGTTATGTGGGGTCATGGTAAGGGGGGTCATGGTAATGTGGGGTCATGGTATGGGGGGTCATGGTAATGGGGAGTCATGGTAATGGGAGGTCATGGTATGGGGTGTGATGGTAATGGGGGGTCATGGTGGTAATTCATTTTTATTGCCAAACTTTCACGCCGATGACCCATCATTATGGTTACGAATACCTAAATCGTTAGCAGCAAAAAACGGTGTATCAACGACTGCATGCCCACGCTTACGAAGATAGCCAGATTCCCAAAACCTTGTTCTCTAAAAGTGTTCCATCTATTGTAATTTCAGGATCTTACGCGACTGTATCTTCATTGAACGGACTTTCAACCAAAGAAATCACTATAAGGTAAAAAAGCAAGGTTTCTGAGTAATTTTAGCTAAGATCGAATTTCAATAAGGAGTTAGATCTGGAAACGAGGGATCGTTGCTGTTCTGTATGGACTTGACGGACGTAACAATTGCAATTTTTTCCTCGCTGTATATGCCCTCAAATCTCTTCCTCATGTACTGGTCTGAAATAAATTGCCTTTTTTCTCTTTTTGATTTCTTTCCCCCCTAAAGTTCATGGCTACAGCCCGCTAAGTCAACGTTTGGTTACTTGTTGTCCTATGCTGTTGGAGGGGACATTGTCTATGCTTTGGCTGTCAATACCACGGCTTCTACTTCTTCTCTCTTTTTTGAATTTGATGATTCAAATGTAAGTAAATATTTTAATATTTAATTGAAATTAAGGAGGCTAGTTGACAGGCCATTACCATAATTATTGTTGGTAACTGTTGAGACTGTTGAGGAGGCTAGTCGATAACTCTATAGCAACTGTTGCTAACCTGTAATCTATGTTGATAAAGAAGCTAGTTGATAAATCAACTTCTATACTAACTGTTGCAATCCTGTGATCTTTGTAAAGGGAATGCTAGTTGATAATTCCATTATCGTTGTAACTGTTGCTAACCTAATCTTTGTTGACGAGTGCGCTACTTCTTAATTGTCTTTGAATTGAGGCTAAAGTTATACACCTATTTCAAAAAGCGTGGTCACAGATTTCAGATCTCTGACCGACATACGCGCTACAATATTCTAATCACCACCGCAAGTACAGCAGTGGCACAGCTCAACGGGGTCAAACTGAAAGCATGCGAAGGCGCCTCTGGCAGCCGTTATACAATCCATGTATAACCCGGAGCACTACTCTAAGCAGTTGGAATTAGTTAGGGTTGATTTGAGAGGAGGGAGGAAAAACCGGAAAAACCCTCGGAGTCGGAAAGAGAACTAACCAACTCAGCTCACATGGGGCGACCGGGATTCGAACCCCGGACATCAGGGATGATGATGTATTTAGATGTATCTGAAACTTGTTGCGAACTACTAATTGAAAAGAAAAAACAGTTTCCTTTCCTTCATATTTTAATTCACAGCACATTTCATTTCAGTCTCAGATTTCATCTTTCAAATCTCCGATTGACAACGTTTTTAGGTGTAAATGAGTGTTTGGTCGGATTAGAAAACATTGGTTTGCTCAAAATAAGCAAGAGCTAGGACTCAGTTTAATTCCTTATTCCCTTGATATTTGTTGTTGTTTACAGGTAACTGTTGCTTTGGGCGTAGATTTTGCTGACAACGCTTGGCATATGGTAGTCATCACTCTTAATTTTGGAACTGGAGTGGCAAAATTCTATCTTGCTGGATCACAGAAACTTACATGGTAAATTTTGAGTATGAATTCTGAAAAAGCTCCCAGCATCATTAAACCACTCATATGGAAATTCTTTGGTCTCTCTACCGTGTCGAGATACCAGGAAAGCAAACCCGGTATTTTGGGATATTTTTCAGATTTTCTATCATTAATAAATTAAACCAATAGACTCCTTGCAGCACCGACGTCGGAATGCATAGCTCAATTTGGAGGACTAACAATAGGTTGCTAATTCTCTGGAGATTGAAATTGATTTGTTTTGTCCACCAAATTGAGCTCCTCTAACGTCACTTGAATGGGGTCTAAAGGTCCATATGCTTAATTGGTTCGTCAATCTTAAGTTTAATTTTGATTTGCTGTGATTGGCTAGATCTTTGATTTGCTGTGATTGGCTAAAAATTGTCTGAAGCTCGATCTTGAATGGCTGTGCTTGGCATTATTTTTGTATTGTTATCGAAATATCAACGAGAGACCGATCGGCTCGTTAACCAGCAGACAAGAGTGTATTTTTGATTGACAAATTGCCACAAGCCAGACATTAAAATTCACAGTGTATCCATCTTCAATAACCTCAAACATATTGTTTCCACAGGAATTTTGCAGGGAGATCGGTAGATACCAGTGGTACATTCACTGTCGGTGCCTTACAACCAGATCAGCAAAAGTACACTGGATGTATCCAAGACATCAGGATACAAGCAGCTGTGCTTGAAGGAAGGTAACATCGAGATTTCTAGGTCTCAAAAGAACGCGGATTGGTCGGTCCTACTACTTTGTTCACTATTGATGGGTTGCAAACATTTCCAAGAGAGGCCATTGTGGTGTCGTTAACAATGGATGCTAATAAGAAATCTTTTGTTAAATGGCACCAACGTCCCCCCTACAGAATATATAGTGATACAGTATTTTCCGCCATTTGTTTTCCTATTTCAGACCACGTGTTATTCCTTTGGATTGATAATATGAATCTTTGAATAATTGATTAATCACTTATGATAACACGATACTCAAATTAAAAATGCCTCTATTTTATTGTTTTTTTTAGTACTGTTGAGGAAATGCCGAAAGCTATAAATGATTTTAAACAACTGAATGGTTATCTTGACTTCCCGGCTGGTGTGCGTCACAGAAACATCGAAATACGCACTGTTGATGATGACCTGCCCGAAGAAGATGAAAAGTTCCCWGTAATCCTATTAGCACCAAAAGGTGGTGCTACCTTGGATGAAAACCATGCTAAGGCTGTGCTCACTGGTCAGTAACAAAAAGCTAACTTGTTGATAGCGACTGATATATAAGACTAATCAGAGTGCTTATTGACTCTTTGCAAAAGATGTGTGTAAAGTTGTTGTTTGTTCTCTCGTGTACTTTGAGGGTTTTCCGGGTTCTCCGGTTTTCCTTCCTTCGCTAAAATCAACTTCTAAATTCTAATTGCAATTTCAGTGGATGAAGAGCCACTCTGTGGAAATGCCACTGTTAAGTCCTATTAATCTAAAATCAAATATTGATCAATTAAGTCGCAAAGGCAAAATCTCATTTTCTTTTTGAAATGATTTGTTCTAGTTCTCAAGAGTGACAACGCTAATGGTCTGTTTGGGTTCGAACGCATTTCGCCCATCACTATGTCAGAAGTGAGCAATCAGAGCATAACCATAACAAGAGAAAAGGGCAAGGCAGGCCAAGTTACTGTGTCGTGGGGAGTGTATAAAAGTTACAGAGATTTGCAATTGGCTTCAGATGATTTTGAACCTTACCAGGGAAGCATTGTCTTCGAAGACCAGGAAGAGACAAAGGTAGGTTTGAAGGAACCCCACCTCTGGGGTCTTGGTTTGATTTCTGGACTCGGCCTCATGTCAGCAGAGTTTGTAAGGTCTCTCTTTCAAACTGGTTTTCTGTGGGTTTTCTTGTTTTTTCTTCCATTGTACAACCTAACAAGATAGATTGAAATTCATAATAATGATGATGATGACGAAAACCGCTATGTCAATTGTTCTGGTAATATATAATAATAATAATAATATATACATTTTTGTACACGCATCTCAAAATCTCGATGCGTTTACAATTCGTAAAATAGAGTAAAATATGTATAGAACATCAAAAAATACATATAATAATAATAATGTTTAAAACACATTAAGTTATCATAAATTATATGCTAAATCAAAGAAAAATGTTTTGAGTTTAGTTTTAAATGTTTCAACTGATGGAGAAGTTCTAATGTTATCAGGTATAGAGTTCCAGAGTTTAGCAGCTGCGTACGAGTAGACCTGCTGGCCATAGGTGGCGGTATTGGTCTTGGGAAGATTAAGTAGTAATTTGTTAGAAGATCTAAGAGATCGTGTAGGTCTGCGGACATCTATAAGCTTAGAGAGGTAGTTAGGTGCCAAACCGTTTACAGATTCATGCACGAGTAGTAGAATCTTGAACTTAATCCTAAACTCCATGGGCAACCAGTGAAGATTACGTAATGCACCAGTAATATGTCCATATTTTTTAATTCCCGTAATCGTTCTTGCATAGAAGTTCATGATTCTTTGTAATTTATCGAGATCAGTTCTAGACGCTCCATATAGGAGACTATTTGCATAGTCGACCTGAGATAAGACTAGCGCATGAACTAGTTTCTTTAAACTTTCTTGGGAAACATACTTTCTTATCCGCCCGATGGATTTTAAAGTCAGTGATACTCTCCACGAGACGACAATATATAGCAGGGAGTTGTTCTTTATCCATCGAAATCAGCAAGACTGTAGGAGTTGTTTTGTTTTGCTTCCCACCTGTGATTCTAATTCGATCTTTGAGCTGATTTCCTGACTTAGACCAGCCTTTAGTTTATTTCAAAATGTATGTATGTATATTTTGGCTAGTTTTGAAGGGTTTTATAAGTACATTGGCTAACTATCGTATATATGTTTTTTTAATCAGAGTATCGTCATATTTCCACGAGACGACAATCGTCCAGAACTAGACGAACACTTTGTCCTGAAGCTAGTGTCGTCAGAAACAGGCGACAGCGAGAACACAAGTACACCAACAAGTGGAGCCAGTCTGGATCCCAACTTAACGTCCATCAACATCACCGTCATCAAGAATGACTTTCCGTTTGGCTTGCTGCAGTTCATGGACCGAGTTCCTGCATGGAATGATACCATACCACCTGCTGTTGATGCTTACTATAAAAACGTTTGGGAAAATAGTGGAAGCGTACGGCTTGTTGTCGTACGTGCACAGGGAGTTAATGGTATTATATATATATTTCAATTTCATTTCGTATTTTGTTATTTTTGTTTACACTTTTTTTAAAAGGTTGTCGGTGAGAACGACGAGTTTTGAACGGCGATTGCACATCCAAAAGGAGCCAGGGTCTTTAATTTTCTTTATTAATATTCCTTGGGTGCAAGAAACGAAAGTTCCCACTTGGGGCGGATCCTGGATTTTAAAAGGAGGAGGGGGAGCATAAAGAATTAGATTGGCTTCACATGGTTGCATGGAACCTAAGGAACCACCACTGGATCTGCCAGTGTATGTTGGCAATCGAATTTTTACATACGACTAATGTCAAATAAAATTAGCAAAATACTAAAATAACGAATTTTATTAACTATGATGCTAATGATGATGATATATTGTGGACTTTATAGTATTTTCATATCTTCAAAGATTCTCAATTCGTTCTCTGAAGCTTTTAAACCTTTCAAGTTGACCGTTTCAGTCCTTCCCGGACTTAAGAAATTTGAGACTTGGATAATATTTATTGCTGTATGATATTTGTCTAGGTGAGGTGAAATGTTTTTGGAAGATAGAACCCCAGTCTGCAAAACCAGCTGTTGATTACGTAAATGATGCAGGAGAAGTGATCTTTCCATCTGGTGTTCGCAACAATACGATAGCCATTAGACTAAAAGATGATGGCAATGTTTCTGAGCTCATCAAGACTTTCAAAGTTGTCCTGTATAATCCAATTGAAGGAGGTAAGTTTGAAGAGTTGGAGATGTTGTTAACGTTTCGACCAAGTTGCATGGATAATGTTCAACATAGGGGGTTTGAAATCATTCAAAAAGGTGGTTTGTAATCATTCCTAAGGGAATAAAAGTGGTAGGCGTGTTGGATTAAGTTCACTATAGGTGGTTCGTCATTATTCCTAATGGAATAAAAGTGGCGGCCATGTTGGATTATGTTCACTATAGGTGGTTTGTCATTATTTCTAAGGAATAAAAGTGGCATCCATGTTGGATGATGTTCACTATTGGTGGTTTGTCATTATTTCTAAGGGAATAAAAGTGGTGGCTATGTCTTAGTTTTGATCATTTCATCTGGTTTCAGCAAAYCTTAGTTCGGTCGCTTCAACTGCAATAGTCAATATTCTTCCAAGTGACGATGCATTTGGGGTCTTGAATTTTACACAAGATTCCATCGAAAAGACTGTAGAGGAGTCAGCGTCTGTTGTCCTGACAATCATGCGCAGTGCAAGCAGTCTTGGCCCCGTCACAGTGTACTGGAAAGCCATTGGTCCTCACCAAGATGACCTGATGCCAATGGAAGGCAATGTAGAACTACCCACAGGAAAAGAAACAGCGCAAATTCAATTCCGAGTAGCTGACGATGCGGTAAGCTTAGTACGTAGGATTCGTTAATCAATTTGAAGATAAAAGGTGGAAATAGAGGTTTGGGACCATCACGTGACGGCAGCCATGTTAGATGGCAGGAACAATACAGCCGTTTTACATGAAAAAGAATTCAATTCCCGAGAGCAAAGGTATTTTATTGTTCTGCCATCTAACCACAGGCAGTCCAAGCTGTATTATGGTAACCGGCACTTGATGGTGCAAAACCATCTATAAAATAAATGTATCACGGTTGGCTCGTGACCTTGGGCCTGCTGTGTGGCCGGACTACGACTCTTCATCTTCAACTTCAAATAACTAAGAAGAAAGGGCTGCATTTTAATAACGTTTGCAGAGGTTCACATAGTTTGGAGGACAGCAAAAATAGCCGCCTGCATGTACTCCAAACTAGGTGAACATGCGCAAACTCTGCCTAGCGAGCAGTAAGTGTCCTTTTACCTCTTAAACCAGCGAGAAAGGTAAAAGGAGACTCTGCTTGCAGAAAGAGACAAGCTCATCACTCACTCACTCAGTTACATGGAAATATTCAATTCTTTATCTTTCAGTCGCCTGAGCTGTCAGAAAGTTATCTTATCCAGCTTGTGAATGTGTCGTCTGGAAGACTTGCAGCGACTGGTACAGTCAGTAACATCACCATTATCGCCAATGATCACCCGTACGGGATCTTTCAGTTTAATCGCAGCGTCGTATCTGTACCAGAGAGTAACAAAAATGTTACTGTAGTCTTCAACAGGGAAAGAGGTGTCCTTGGAGCGGTACGAGTGCACTATGAAACCATGAGCAATGGAGATATGTTCGGGAGTATTAGACAGAAGGCTTTAGCAGGGGAAGACTTTGTGGCATCGAACGGCTATATTGACTTTTCTGGAGGACAGAAGAACGCTTCATTCGTGATTCAAATCTTGGATGACGACATACCTGAAAATGAAGAGACTTTATTAGTGAACCTGACAAGAGTAGAGATTGTCAAGCAACTGCCAGTTATTCCAGGTTTGATTTTGTTTTATCATATGCCCCGTATCTGCCCGGGCGCGCGCTCTTAAAAAAACCTTCGGGAAAATGGCGTAAGCAGGGCCGTACGAATTCATACGGCCCTGCTCGAAACCTGCGACCGTATTATTTATCTTTTCGCGAGGGTCATAAGATAAAATGCCTATTGACTGAGTTAGGTCGGGCCATACAGGAAAATATTTGGCTCCCTGTCATTTATACGCTGCGCTCGGTCCGTACGGCATCACCTCGAGCCAAATATTATGTACTTATTGACTGAGTGGGAGGGCCGGACGGGAAAATATTTGGCTCGAGGTCATGTCGTACGGACCGAGCACAGCGAGGTCCGTACAAATGACCGAGAGCCAAATATTTCCCCGTATGGCCCGACCTAACTCAGTCAATAAGCATTTTATCATATGAGCCTCACGAAAAAAAATAATTAAGAAAAAGAAAGCGCGCGGATTCGAGCAGGGCCGGACGGGTTTTTCCGGCCCGCTTACGTCAGCCCGTCCGGCCCCCATCACGTGACTTTTTCCAAT